AACCCAAAAACATTTATATTCTTTAACTATATTACCTGCACGGCCTACCTGGAAAAGCGACTAACGGGACAGGAAATTCTTCACTATACAATTTATATTATTTACTAAAAAGATGTAAAAATGAAGGTGGGTCAGTTCCAACCCCCTAAGAATCCGAACCGCTTTACAGTTCCCCAAGGAAAACAGACTTCTTTTTAACATATTTCGGGTCCCTGTAGAGGTTTCCAAAACATCAACTAAACCGTTTCCTTTCCTAGTCACAGGAGTCTAGCTTTCCGCTGTGTTTGGAAATGGGAACAGGGCGCATGGAACATCAGCACGTTCCTAAGTTGTAACTGGCAACCCCAGCCCATAATAGAAGTCACCAGCACTTAAAGTCCTCTTACTCGAGGTCTGTACACTGTATGGAGTGCAGGTGATTTTGTATTATCGATGGCCACCCCAGCCGTCACATAGCCAGTAACAAAAAGCATACAACTGTTCTACCAACTATACAGTAATGAACTGGTGAGGGAAAGTCTCGGACCTATCCTATGGGCGCTTGCACACTTAAGCGTAAGCAGTAAGCATGCATTTAGGACACGGTAACTGCGTGCGTTTGTGTATTTAAATGTGGGTGCGTTTTAATTTTTTTCGGTTTTTTTTTTGCTCATGCAACATGCAAAGCAAGGGAGTAGCATTCAATCTACACATTTAATACATTATTTGAGCTGCTTAACGTGTAATAAACGCTATTTAAAAAAAAACTAAAAAAAACCTAAATGTGCTAAGCATAAGGAGGATCAGGCGTTTCTGCTTGAAATGCATATTCACGCATACGTTTTACTGCGGGCTCTAGGAGACAACTTAGCTGAAAGAAAAGTAAACTGCAGCTTGGTAGAGAAACCAAATCAGCCAAGAGTATGCAAAAACACTATTAAATATCATCTACTGCAAATCCTCACGAGAGCTAGAATGTCGAAATGAAAACAAAGGACATACGGAAGAGGTGCGTTATCAGGTTCCATAACTGGGTTGATTTTCTATGGTCACTAGAGTTGGAATACATGAGAAAAAAAAATGGGTCTTTTTTTTTGTACATCTCTACCAACGGGCAGAGCAAAATATTTTAAGCCCTTCAACCAGAGAAAGCGTTGGAGCGTTGGGGTATTTCTTGTTCGAAAAACAAAAATGCCATACAAAGACAAAAAAAGTTTCTCATTTCCGTTTAGTTTCAGAGAGGTGGGCATCAAGTGAAGTTTCCAGCGGGAGCTCTGGACACGAGAGCTAAAAGTTTGCCTCTCCTGTTCATTTTGAGTTACGCGTCCGGAGTACGGTTCCAAAGTCGCCACAAACCTCCCACCCCCCCAGCAGCGGCAGCGTTCGAGGAATACTGGTTCTGCTCAGGATGCAAATGTGGCTTTTACCTAAATATATATTTATAGATTACATAAATAGATCTCTCTTTGCCTCTCTCTGTACATAAAGTCTGTGCACAAACGTATGCATATTCACAATATACACAGTGAGCCTTGTCAGACACGTTCGAAATGCGTACTCTGCACGTAATCCCATCTGTGGTCGGTGCCGGCAGATAAAACACATTATGCACATACAATCATTCACATCACACCTTCGGCAAGACAGGTGTCACCTCTTTGGCGTCAAGCAATGTGTGGTGCTCTCCCACTTCTGCAATGGGTGATCTCATTTGCAAACAGTAACTGCTGTAGGAAGCGATCGTGGTAAAATTTACACTACCACCTCCTCGTTCCTACACAGAGGCCTTTATTTCATCTTTAAATGCAGTTACTCATCGCGACCAGATTTCAGTGGCTTAGTGCAATCAGATTTATGAAAAAAGAAAATATTCTGATTGGTCGCCACGGGTCCCTGCACTTTTGTCTTCTGCTGCATATTATATAAAAAAAAAACACAATGTCAGAATGTAATTAACGCTTTAGAAATGGCTTAGGTGTCCTCGGCAATAGTTAACGATCATATTGAAAAGGCTGAAGTTAGGGCTTCACAGGTACGGAAAAGGTTATGCACATTATAAAAACATTATTCATTTTCATTAGAAAAGGGATTAAATTGCTAATTGCAAAAAATAGGATTTTGTACTCACCGTAAAATCCTTTTCTCTCTCCGTTCATTGAAGGACACAGGGAACAGATCTAGGATCATGTACTGTAGTGTTATAGTGCCGCCTACAGTACATGATCCTAGATCTGTTCCCTGTGTCCTTCAATGAACGGAAGAGAAAATAGGATTTTGTACTCGCCGTAAAATCCTTTTCTCTCCGTTCATTGAAGGACACAGGGAACAAATCTAGGATCGTGTACTATGGGGTTATATCGCTGCCTACAGTACATGATCCTAGATCTGTTCCCTGTGTCCTTCAATGAACGGAAGAGAAAATAGGATTTTGTACTCGCCGTAAAATCCTTTTCTCTCCGTTCATTGAAGGACACAGGCAACAAATCTAGGATCGTGTACTATGGGATTATATCGCCACCTACAGTACATGATCCTAGATCTGTTCCCTGTGTCCTTCAATAAATGGAAGAGAAAGTAATGTTTTTATGACTGTTGTGTGCATAACCTTTTCCGGCCCCTCTAAAACCCTAACTTCAGCCTTTTTCAATATGTATTTAAACGTATAAGGGTGTGGTACACCGTCATTGGTTTAGGCCGCCTTCAATAGTTAACGTCCAATGGACAGCCATAAAAACACACTGTCCTGCTCATTTTTACAGGGACTTAAAAGAACGGCTAAGGCAAATACAGTTGTACTGATTGTGACCGCTTTTTTTTTTGGCCTTCTGTGGCTGAAGTCAATTACAAAAGGTGCATCTTAGCAGCAGCAACAAGACTAAAAAGGTGCTCAAGGTTTTATGAAGCAGATGGAGGTGGGTTTACTGTATCAAATGACATGACCCAGCATGACACAGGCTTGACCTTAACTTGAAGGCAGGAAAAATCTGCCCAAAAAAACAGCTTCTTTCCTGAAATCTCCTTTTGTACAAAGGCCATATTTATATATATTTATACATATATATATGTACATATAAAAAATAATATTAATAAAATTCAGAAAAAAAGCCCCACATTATCTACAGGTTTCCGGTAGTCTGGCAGGAGGATCCCTCTGAGGAGGATGGAGGACAGAGAGGGAGGGAGGTACAGCAAATACAATTAGAACATGGCAATACTGCTGAAATATTCCACTCGCAGTAATATGATTTAATAATACTAAGAGTCATTGAATACCTTTCTATGGGACCGGATCCTTCCAAGTCTCCCAAGAAAACACAAAACGTCATTATCATTTATGTCAAATCGATTTAACGACGACAGAGCGAGCAGCTTTTCCTGCAATGGTTTGCTCAGTCATGCCCTTAAGATAACGGCAGCTTGTTCTTCCCATGGGATTGGGTTAGCAGCTCTGTAATACATTTAAAGTCATAATGCAATTCATTTCTCTGCACTATGCTGATCTGTAATGGCAAAGACACAAAACAGAAGCTTGTGTCAAGTATGGGATCACGTTAAATTTGCATCAGCAAAAAATAAAAAAATAGGGGCAGATGTTGACATGTGTCATTCAACATCTGTAGGACTAAGATTTCATTTTACTATGGCAATAGGAAAACCCTCTGCAATTTATTTGTTTATGTATTTGGGGGTACCTCCCTCGAGCACTCTCTTCCTCCAATGCGTGCCTTGTATTGTCCTTGCACTGCTCACTCCTCCTTTTGGAGGGCAGTTGGACCCAGTTTGTCATCACGGCAGTTGTCCCCGCCTTCACTACTTATTGCGGTAAAGTGAGAGGCATTGCCATTGCTGCAAGGATCACTGCATTCTCTGGATAAGGCACATGCTATAGTTTGTGAGCTGGATTCTTCCTCTGTAACAGTGCTTCCACTGGTCCCGTTGACTTGAGAGGGGCTGCGGCTGTCTGCTGACCCCTGGAAAAGACCAGAAGAAACATTTAGCGTTCTAGGATCCTTTCTTTTGTTAAAAGATTGTAAAAACCTTGTAACCTGTAAACTGTAGAGAGTGAAATAGGATTTTGACTTATCTATAAGGCTAGGTTCACACGAGATGCAATGCGTTCCGGCACGAATGCACTGTATCGCGGCCCATTCACTTTTTTTGTGGGGTAGGAGGAGGCGTGGCAGGCCAGTGAAGTGAATGGCACGGAAACCACGCCCTCTGGCCGCAATGCGATCGGCCGCATTGGATCGCAAGGCGCATTGTGCCTGCGGTCCGGTGCAGTCAAAATGCTGCAAGCACTATTTTGATCGCACCGCCTTGCGATCCCGTGCGGCCGATCACATTGCGGCCAGAGGGCGTGGCTACGGGCCATTCCCTTCAATGGCCCGCCACGCCCCCTCCTGCCCCACAAAAAAGTGAGCCGGCCGCAATGCGATGCAGTGCGTTCAGGCTGGAACGCACTACATCCGACGTGAACCCAGCCTAAGAGTTTATTAAGTGACACAGGATATTCAGAAACAACTGGGTTATATTGTTGTTACAGGAGAATAGACAATGGGGAAACAAAAAAGTGTCAGTCAAAGCAATAGAAGAGTGGATCAGACAGAGGGGAAGGACCTACATCCATTAATGTACTGCAAGGAATGGATTTTACAGGCAAGTCAAAAAAACGTTTTTTTCTTAATTGTGCATTAACCTCCCTGGCGGTAATCCCGAGTCTGGCTCGGGGTTAATTTTCAATGCACACTTCTGGAAGTGCTGCTTTCTCTGCAGACTTCAGGCTAGGTTCACACCTAGGTGACTCCTGACCGCGCAAGTGAACACGATTGCCGCGCGGTCAGGAGTCCCCAAGGTGTGAACCGATCGCGCTGTGGGTGCCATTATTTTCTAATGGCGCCCCAGTCACGTGGGCGCATAGCGCTGTTTTCCCGCGTGATTGTGTCGCAATTGCCACGCGGATGTCACCCCATTGAAATCAATGGGGCTGTGCAGCAATCGCGGTGTGCACTAGCACACGATCGCGCGTGTCGTGTGGTCTAGTGCAGGTGTGAACATAGCCTCAGAGAAAGATTTCTTTCCAACAGAGCAGCAGAGGATGGAAGTATGCTCTCTCTTTTTTTACAGGTAGAGCTTTGTGGCCAATTTTATCTGCCGGACAGGGTCTTTTCACATTTCCAGTACTAAGAGCTGAAACAACTAGCTCCAGGGCTTCCTAAACTTATAGATTGCATCATACTTCCTATCAGTACAGAGCTCTATGCAGCCTCTCCATATAGGAGTAGAACACTCCTCTAGTGACCTACTGCTGACAGATTCTGACAATAGATCGCTACTATTAATAGCACTTGGAAAAAAGGTAAATAAAAACCCCATTGAACTAAAGGAGATGAGACTCACCGGTTAGGTCACTTTGCAACTGCCTATTTCCTAAACATACAAATCGCCGTGCACAAAGCTATGACATGTTATTACATACCTGCTTGCTTACTTTTTTGTTTGTTTTTGCCATTTTATTAGCAGCGGCGGCGGCAGCAGCAGGGTCTCTTCCACGCCTAGGAGAGGGGGAATCAGATCTGGTTACGCTTGCAGATAAACATTTACCACAGAAGAATTTATTCTCCATAGTATTGGCTCTATTCCTTCAGATTAAAGTACATACAAAAGCATTCTGTAATCAAAACTTGACCTTTTTATAAAGGTATTTTACATTGCTTTAAAATATAACCCTAATGAAGAAAATGGCTATTACTTTTTTATAACCATTGTACCTTTCCCTATTTTCAAATCGATCCATGTGGAGACCCTCGGAACCTAGGTTAAAGCTGGATATTCGGCCTCAACTTCTGACCAAGTCCACTTGAAACCTCAACCCCCTCTTAATAATCTTTCATTCCCCTAGTGTCCCATTATCCTAAATATCTGAGAATTAAAAAGGAGAACTTTAAGGCGAGTGAAAATCACTCATCCTCATAGTTGGAGCCGACGTGTGGCAATTAAACTGTCACACGTCGACTCAATAGATTGGGAAGTGAGCGAACACATACCGTCGCTCGCTCACTTCTCAATCATCTCCCTGCAGGGATCCCTACCCCTCCCTCAAGCGCTGACTGGAGGAACGGACTTGTACAGCTGGCTCTGCCTCTAGATAGGCAGAGCCAGCTGTCACTCACGCAGCTGGGTGGATCTCGACAGTAATGTCCGGATCCGTCCCGGCTGCGGTGGTCTCAGTATACCGCAAGCTGTAGCTCGCGATATACTGAGCTTTGGGTCACGGGAGGACATATACTAGCGTCCGCCCGTGACACTTAAGAGAACTATGGGGGAAAAAACACTTACCCCATAGTTCTCTTTTAAGAATTCAGAAAGCATGGTCCTGTTCCACTCTCCTTGTATCCCTATTGGCCACAAATTTGTATGGCCTCCCTTACTAGTCAAAGGAGCATGGGAAAGAGTGGGTCACTCTACAACCATGAGAGATGTGGAAGATGTTCCTGAAAAACAGTAAACTGAATTTAATGTGGTGAATTCAATTTGCTGCAATTGTGATCTGATATACAAAAAAGGGACTAGCTTCTATTCTTTCACTAACTATGGATTCGCACATACAGTGGGGCAAAAAAGTATTTAGTCAGCCACCAATTGTGCAAGTTCTCCCACTTAAAAAGATGAGAGGCCTGTAATTGGCATCATAGGTAGACCTCAACTATGAGAGACAAAATGAGAAAAAAAATCCAGACAAATCACATTGGCTGATTTGGAACCAATTTATTTGCAAATAAAGCATTAAAAATATAAAGTACTGTCCCTTACATTGCCCACATAGCCAGATAAACTAAAAAGTAAAATAAACATTTGCTCTTTGTCTCTGAATAATAAAAAAGTCTGGCTCACCCCCATTATATACTGCTGAACAATAGCACTGTGGAATGCTGAACTCATAACGCCCCATTCACATCTGCTAACAGGGCCGATAGCACGTGTCTCCTGAATTCCTTTGTGGTAATCATACGATCTGCTGTGGACGGGAGGCACTGTACAATACAACAGCTGCCAACGCCTGCAGTTGTTCTCGTGTAATCGCACATGCTATGATGACTTGCAGACAACCACACCTGGATGCAGAATATTTGCATTCAGGTATGAACGTTTGCAGCATGTGCGATTACACGAGAGCAATTGCAGGCAGTGACGGCTGTCCTAACAGATCATGGAAGAATTCATGAGACCTATGCTGTTGGCCCCATTAGCAAAGTGTGAATGGGGACTAAAAGATAACCCTATTAAAAGTACAGTTCTTGATCTACTTCTTATGAAATGTGATGGCAGCAGTCTCTTCCTTCTTTCTGTCTGAAGTATGACAAGAAAATCTTGTAATCTGAGGATGATTAAATATGACAGCTTCATAACACAGCTTACACGGTCAATGCCACCATTGAATAGAGCAGAAAAATAGATTTACAAATACTTGCATTATGCTGTAAGGCTTAGCGTGAATTTTTTTGCATTGCTACTACATAATAAAATGCTTACCCTTTTCCTGGACCCCCAACTGAGACCACCTGCATTCCAAAAGCTCCCCGGCCACGGGAAGGTTTACTGCCTGCCCACTGACCAACAACCATACCAGCAATCTCCAGCTTGCCCCCTTGTGGTGGAATAGGATGAACACCTGCATTAAATGCAAAGAGTTAAAAGAACACTAAAATATACACAATCACACTACCTAAAAACTACAATACACACCCGAAAAACCTCGGTTTCTTCCAGGAGGAGGTGGGGGCATAGAACCCATAGCCCTAGGATATAGTGGAACGGGGTAAAAGGGTGGCATCATTGGGGGCATGAAAGGTGGTGGAGGCAGAAGTGGTGGAGGAGGTTGGCGGTTTAGATTGATCCCCTCCAAGATGCTCTGTCTCATCTTCTCCACTTTGGCTGCCTGCTCTGCCTGGAGTAAAAAAGAGACACATACAAATAAACTAAATCAATGGACAAATTATGTTTTACTTTATGCAATATACTTTTCTCCAAGCATTCAATGGGCGGAACAGAAGACCTCTGGCTAGAAGTCCTACCCTTCGGTAGATGGACAAAAATAATGTTTTTCTCTTTTTAAATTATTAGATGTACAAGATAGTCCACTAAAGACAACTTTAAAGTCCTAGTTTATTTTAGATAAAAAACAAAAACGTCTTTGAAACCTCTTCTTAGCAACACAGACAGGTCCTTCTCTAGATGATGAATGCAAAATCACCAGCACCTGTGAATGCATTTCCTCGCTCAGTTCATGTCACATTAGTCATATAAGCCAACGTTTCAGCGCCACATAGGGTCCCTTCTTCAAGGAGACATGGTGACACTATGTTGCCCTGAAGGAAATACGTTCATGAGTGTCCGAGATTCTGCATCTAATATTTGGAGGTTTCAGACGGCGTCATCCATGTAAATCACTGCGAGCACCATCATTCTCAAGGCAGAGGTCAAGGACGCTGTATGGAGTGCAGGTAATTCACAATATCTACAGAAGGTCCTCCTCCAGAGCTACCGCAGACCGCTTGTATGGTGCGTGAACTTATTTCTTTATATAGTAGAAAATAAAAACCTCAGTGGTGATTAAATACCACCAAAAGAAAGCTCTGTTCCATAAAAAAAAAAGAAAATGAATTTCGGTAGGCGTTGTATGACTGAATAAATGTCAAAGTACCTCAGCACTGAATATTTATACAGCTCTGCCACACAGCACAGGGGCAGGGGAGCGGATCTGTTTACTTTCTGCTGTAGTTTTAATTTCACCTACAGCTCTTGCCTCTCCCTTAGCCCATGAAAAGGAGAAAAAGAATCTGTGCGTTCTCTCCTCCTATTAGCATTAAGAGAAATGAACACAGTTGATCTGCTCCTGGTGCAGATTCCTCTTCTCACATTCAGAGCTCTGCTGTACAGGGGATTGCAAGAGGTGGTTACCGATTCATGCGGAGATACTGAGGGCAAAAAATAAATAATACATCATGTATAAATAAAGAGCTGCATTATTCCGTATCTTTTATATCTGCCTGAAGTTCAGATTCAGTCATTAGAAGACTACATGTACCTTGGGTGAGATGGCAACTACTTTAGTGTAGGTGTACTGGAAATAACGTTTATGTAACCTGGAGATATCTTTAGTCCTGTGCATTCTACCGAGACTGATTTCTTACCTGACCATCACAAAGATCAATTAAAGGTGCCTTCTCCCTGCCTCCTCGGTTGAGCTTGCTCTGGAACAGCTTCCCATCAAAGTAAATCCATGGACAGCAGTGCTCCCAAGGAACCGGCTGGCCGCAGGCATCATTGGCAAATAATGCAGTGTCCACTCCACTCATAAAGAGAGCTGCGAGCTGCACACCTCGAGCATCCAGTTTCTCAATCTGCCCAGTGAAAAACAAGTGAGCATTCATAAGTCACTTACATGATATACTTGCGGCATATAGATGATATAAATGTAAACGTTCTACAAAGTGACCTTCTACCTTGAGCTCCTGCAGCTGGTCTGGCTCATAAAGTTGTGCAGATACAGCCTGTGCTAGAAATGCATCCAGCTCATGCCTAAGTAATATTCTTCCTCCAGGCCACTGCATCATATACCTGCAAATAAAGAACAGATAGTGATTCTTCACCATCCAGAAGGAACAATTGCCTTTTAACCTATAGGCCTTTGCTGGCTTTTCTCACCGGAGCACACAGCACATGAGGAGGAGATGTGTGGGCACATTAGCTGGATTCAACATGCTGGGTGTGTCAGCCTTCATACAGGCCAGGAAAGCTCTCATTCGGCGGTTTTTGTCCTCTACAGCTTTGCCCAGCCACAGTTTCTTCAAGTTAGGACAAGTCCATTCTCTGAAGGTCAAGGCCGATACCAACTCTGGAGTCTGAGGTGACTTCCCTTTATAGGCTGACCATTCCTTGATTATCACTGGCGGAACTGAAAAGGGATAAATCACACAACATTAGATGGTTGTCTTTTAGTAAGGAGAAATCCTCGTCCTGCAGGCCCACGTCTATACAGATAACTGGTGAAATGGCCAAAAGTTGTCTACATGGGTGTCACTTCAGATGATTGCAAGAAGAATTATGGCATAAGGCCAATGTTTGCAGAAATACACTCAAGGGACAAAATCTGGAAGTTCAGGAAACCACAAACATTTCCCCAAGATCAGCAGAATACAGAATCCTAAAGCCATCTAGGCGTAACTAATCAAATAACCAAAATCTAGACAAAAAGAGATAAAGTCTAAAGCAGTGGTTCTAAACCTCTGTAACCTCAGGACCCACATTTGTCCTTTGTCAATAAGTCACGACCCAAGTCTGCACTGCAATTGAATGCACGGCATTAGGGTACCACGCGTTCCGGTGCGGGAGTACGAACTGTGGGTGGGAGGTACGTTCGGGGGTGTCATTCAAATGAATTGCAACGCACCTCCCGCACCAGAATGCGCGGGCTAGGTGCGATTGCGTAGTACAGTGTGAACAGGCCCTCAAAAACACTGACATACATACACAGACATTCTCAAATTCACACTCCCAAAAATGTATATATTTTTTTAAACATTTTTAAAGTCCACCCAGTCTCCCTATCTTACAAGAGCTGCAGTGGATCCTCAGCCTGGAGTCCAGTGGGGGCTGCTTTGCTATGACAGAGCTCCATCTATATGTGCATTGCTTGTACAGCTCCCTTGCGCGCCCCGTACAGGTGTCGTGAGCCAGAATGTGATGTCACTCCGGTCCAGTCACCTCTATAGGACACGTGAGGGAGCTGTAAGCAATACACGTATGAATGGAGCTCCCTCGCGGCCATAACCCCACCTCAAGCTGACACTGGGCAGCATATTTTGAATGGCTGCTTAGCACGAGAACTGACAGTGCTGTGCTAGGGGGAGGCAGAGGAGCCTCTCACCTAGAAAAGTGGAAGGCATGCGGCGACCCACTGAACACGGACTTGTGACCCACTTTTGGGTCACGACCCACTAGTTGAGAACCAAGGGTCTAAAGAACCTTCTCTGGCAAGGACAATGAGACATATGCCAGGTTTGTAATATAGCCAACATCCTGAATATTGGATCGGTATATTAGACAGGTAATTAAGTAAGGGAAGCAACATGGTAAAGAACATAATGACGAAAACTTATCTGAATGCGAAGTTCCGAGGTCTTTAAACAGCAGAAAAACTGGTAGAATACCAAAATACAGTCCCCATTATTCACACCTCAGTCACCTAACACAGTGCATGTTGCTTTGTATCCCATGCTTCTGTGTGCAGTAGAAAGTGAGATACAGCCTTTGACAGCTCGCTGTTCATTCTTGACCTCGCTCTGCAAAGGAGACAGACGCTTGAATGACAGCCATTATTGCACTGTCTCTGCACTTTCCACACACAAGGTGCATTCTTACGCAGAGAGAGACGGCACGCTCTCACGGCAATCCGCACAGGCACTAGAACTAAAAGGGGAGCCTTTTTTTGTGTTGGCACAGTGCAAAGCCAGTGAGATAAGAGCTGTCAAATAAGAGACGTCTCCTTTCCAATGTGTGGTCAGGAATGAAGGTGTGATCTGTCAAAATCTGTATCTGAGATTCTATTGCTCACAGAAGCATGGGATAAAAAAGGGTAGTTAGGTGGTGATGTAAAAAAAATAAAAATAATTATTTGAGAAGTTATTTCATAGGATTGACTTTTGCTTAAGTTCAGTGGTTCTTTAACACTCAGTGACATTGCATTTCTACAGTTCAAAGAGAGCCGCCCCCCCCCAACACGACAGTTGTGTGGCAATGACATGGCAGCTGCCACATAATTTAAGACAACTCTGCAACTGAGCACAGAGGCTGACGGCAAAACAACAGACAAAAATATCCTTAGGAAGATTAGGTTTCAGATAAGTCTGCTTAGCAGAACAAAGGACTTATAGGGACTAAGAATAGGAACCTAGCCGAGAAAGGAATTTAACAACATATACAAATGACAATTGTGGAATGTTTTAATGTGCTCGGAACTGTGTTACTCCAGAATACACACAACACAAAGAACATACCAAAATAAATAAATAAAACACACAGATTCCCTTACCATCCAATGGCATACGCCTGCGCATGGCTAGCCGCTCAAGCCGCCTCTGAGTCTCAGCCAGGCTGAATAAGACTCCGTACACATACTGGCGTGCTGGGCGGAAAAGAATGGTAGCAGGGGGGAGATCAGTGTTGCATTCATCCTCTATGCACACTGGCAATTTAATCTCACCCTATGGGAAGAAGAGAAAGCCAGATAAAAGGTAAGTTGTGTACTCCACCCTCAGTATTAGGACTGCCATAGACAGGCAAATGAAAGATGGCGACAGATCTGCTCATCATCAGCTAACAAACAATGGGACATGCCTGGACTGCATCACTTAAGTGTCGAGAGTGCACATTATTCCATAAAAGCCAAACACTGCACAGTCATTGCAGATAAACTGGTTAAATTGCTTGCAAATATAAAATTTGCTCAACTTTAGTGACGGCAAACAAAATTCTAAATATATATAGCTTAATGGGGCTGATTTTTAAAGACTACACAAAAGAAGGGGGAAGCATTGCCCTTAATATAATGTGCATACAGGCAAAAGAATATGACAGGCGGCATTACTATGGTAACAACCCCTAAAAAAACCAAAAAAAACCCAACATAAATTGCCCAGTTTTATATATCAGAACTTGTTTCGTGTAGAACAAACCTTGGTGAGGACATGATAAATGTAGGGGTACATGAGACCCCGCCGATGTCTGTGTTCTGCCACTCGTAGTACTTCAGGAGCCACAGGAGGCAACGGTGGTGTAGTGATATCCATGTGGTTTCTGGTTGCCATGGACAGCAGGGATGGAATCTGCGGTTCATTTTGCCCCATATTTTGTTGGGATTCTCCAGATCCGGACTGATGGCCCCAGTTCTGTGTCATTTTCTCTCCAGAGGACTCATCCCAATTAGTCTTGTGCTGTCGGGCGTCAGTGACATGACTGTGTAATGGAGGGTAAAAAAAAAAAAAAATATAAAAAAAATCAGATACCACCAAGGCACAAGATAAAGTAAAATTAATTTAGTCTTGTCTGCAATCACAGAACCTTCCAGGCGTTAAATCTTAAAAGTACCTTATCTATGAACAAAAATGTATCTTATTTGTGAATCACTCGGCTGCAGATCCTCAAATCATCTCTGAATTGGTGCGGATCCTGATCCTACATTTGTTTCCCATGGTCACTGTGTGTGTTGTAAAGTAGTCAACGCTCCAAGCTCCCTCCCGTGATGGACTACAATCTCAATGCAAATGAGTAAACTAAATGTGAGGTTGTAAGCCCATCCCAAGAGTGAGCTTGGAGCGGTGGCTACTTTACAACACACACAGGGACCATGGGGAAAAAAGTAGCTCCACTCCAGAAGGAAGGACAGTGTCAGCACCAATTCAGAGGTGATTGGAGGATATACAGCTGAGAGATACACAAATTATAGAACCGAACAAAGAGGACAAGGGACTGCCTTACCTATGGAAAACCATAAAATGTAGGGATGCACCGAAATTTCGGCCGCGGAAAATGGCACTTTTGGCAAATGCCGAAACTGCAATTTTTTGTCCGAAATAGCGGCGCATCTGTGCTTTCTCTGTCACCGGAGGCTGTGCCGGGTGGGGTGTGTATTGGGGAGGAGAGCACTGTGAGTGGCCTGCGTCTCTCCTCCCACACTGTTCAGCCTCCTGTCACAGATCAGGAGAGCGGCGGTGTGGGGGTCGAGACAGCTTGCAGTGCTGTCACAGGAGGCTGAGCTCTCCTCCTGCACCGCCCGACCTTCTGTGACAGATCAGCTGTCAGAGGAGGCCAGGCAAGCGGTGTGGGGGAGGAGTCAGCTGTCATAGGAGATCGAGATCTCCTCCCTGCACTGCTCACTCAAGTCTCCTGTGACAGCCGATCCAGGATGGAGAGCGGGTACAAACACTCAGCGATCTACATCACTTCCTGTTCAATCATAATTGTGGACATGGTAAACATACTATGTTCCCAAGTTATGAATGAACTTAGTATAGAGGATTCCTGTTCATTTATAACAGGGGCCGCAGAAAGGGGCTGCAGAAAAAGAGATTAGGTCCTCAATCTCTTTTTCTATGTTAAAAGGGAAAGATCAGGGGTCATTTTAGACCCCTAATATTTGCCCAAAGCCCCAAAAAGTAAAGTTAAAAAAAAAATCAAACATATTAAATAAAAAAAAAATATTTAAAAAATTAAAAGGTTTATAAAAATAAATAAGAATAAAATTTTTAAAAATCTGGAAAGGTTAGAAAAAAAAACATTTTCGGTCTGACTTTTTTATTTCGGTTTTGAAATGTTCATTTCGGTGCACGTCTAGTCAAATGGATGAAGCAAAAAACCTAGCCTTGCCTTATAAACGGCAGAATATGCAAATGCTGGCCCTTGTTCTGCAAGTACACCCTGTGACGAATGGGAAAGAAGGGGGTGGTAACTTGCCTGCATTAAGCCCATTTGAGCCCTGAGCTAAGGTACAGTATACGGGACACTCTAATCTCTGTCTGTATATAGAGTTTAAGCCAATTTCTGCAGGCTGGAGATGTCCGAACAATACTCTACACTTACGAGCTTAGAGATCTTGAAAGTAATACATATGAAATTCTTGTTGGAGTACAATGAAAGCTGGTAAGCAACCTCAAATGACAAACTCAATTTGCATTAAAATCCCTCAAATGCCCTCCCTCTGACCTCAGTAAGCCTATATTCCATAAGACCACATGACCTGTAAGGGCTCAAAGAATAAACCTCCAGATGTGTAGCTTGCCCTGGGTCAAAACCCATTCAGCAGCCAAAATACCATCAAACTGCTGGTGAATGCACCAGGGTGGTGATTGTGACCTACCGCAGAAAATAATGGAAGCCCCTATGTGCACCAGCAATGAATGAACTGTACGTGCGTATACGCACGCAAACACGCTTAAAATACCCTGCCGGACGCATGTCTGTCTGTATGTCTGTTCCATTCTGTTTTTGCGCATTTTTACGCTACGCAAATATACGGCTCCATACGCAGCTATGTGTATGGAGCCATTTATTTGCATATGCTGCATATGGTACAATGCGCGCTTTTATGCGCGCCAGTGCGAATGAAGCCTTAGAGATAGGGTTGCACAGATACCAAGTACAGTACTCGGTACAAGTACCGATACTTTTGAGCTCCAAGACTAGACTAGAGAAAAATTCTAAAGTTAGGAGGCAGCTGTCATTTGTAAGGAGCACACGGAGCTCCTGGGATTTGTACATCTCCGTTTTAATGTACGATTTTGTTTTTATACATATAAATAAATTGATGCACAGATACCAGTTTTGCGAGTACGAGTACTGGTACTTGCCGAGTACTTACAAGTACGAGTACTGATACATTTTTGTTTATTGTCATGCGACAGTTTTTCTAAAACAATACAGAGTAATGATTTCAGGTCAGTGGTGGAGCGCCAGAGTCAGGTCCCAGCCGCTGAAACCCTGGTAGTTCTCATGAAAATGCCAAGTATCTGCACTGGTACTCAAAGTATCTGTGCATCCCTACTTAGAGACATTATTACAGGTATGGGGTATCCTCAACTTTATGATTGTTCTAGATAGGAAGAGGGTGGTTAAGGGGCTTTTTAGTAAAGCACACTCATCCTTTAATCTACGTTTTAAAAGGTACACATATAATGATAAAAACAACACACACACAAATGAACATCGTAAGCATCAACGGTCTAACAATTCGTTGCTGCTACATCTTCATATGCTTACTTTGATGCTGCACCATTCTGATCTTCATCAGAAGAAGACGGTGACGACTCATGGCCAGATGAATGAGAAGGCTTCATAGTCAGGTGATTGGGGAACTTAGCAGCAGTTGTGTCGTAAGGTACGGACCAGCCTGAGAATGGTCCCCCTTTCAGAAGGTGGTCGTCATGAAAGTGAGAAAGGTCTCCCATGGGGTGATGAGGGAACACAAAACCAGAGTTGGGTCCTGGGTGAAACGGGTGATGCTGATACGGAAACTTTGCGGGCATCTGATGGCCAAACTATAAAAAAAAAAAACACACGATTATTGCTACATCAAAGTCACCTTTGTCTCGGAATAGTAAAGCTAAGGAACCCTTAATATGACTTTTCCAAATTCTGGTCTGTTCTGTGTGGCTGCCCAAATTCGTTTGTATTCCAAAGTCAATAAAACCCTACCACTTAAAGTATATCTAAAGCCAAAAACTTTTTGTTTGGATAGAGTAGGGGAAGGTTGAAACTGCCGGCAGATTTTTCCCATATCTGTCTCATTAGGGATATTTCCCTTCACTTCCTTTAGACTCAACAGGATGTAAGAGGATATCTTTCCAAAGTGGAATTGTTATCATTAGAAATGCACCAAAATGAAAATTTGGAAAACGAATGTTGTTTCTAACCTTTTTCTTTAAAAAAACACTTTATTTTTTATATTTTATTTTTAACTTTACTTTTGGGGGCTCTAGTAAAATATCTAAAACAGACCCCAGATATTTCACTTTTAAAATAGGAAGAGATTGAGGACAAAATCTCTTTCTTTGCATCCCCTGTTATAAATGAACAGGAATCCTCTATACTGTACTGAGTGTTGCTGTTCATTCATACATTGTGGATATAGTATGTTTACTATGTAAACTGCTAGGAATGAACAGGAAATTATGTAGATAACTTCCTATCCATTGATAACAACTGCTACATAGGAACTCATACCATGTCCAGTTATTTACAAACAGTCAGCAATCAACTGCTGGTATCGCTCTCCATTCTGACTCACTGTCAGAGCAGAGCCGGTCTATTTTGACAGCTGACTCCTCCCCCTCACTGCCGGCTCAGGCTCCTGTGACAGCACACGGCTGTCTCCGCCCCCACACTGCTCTCCATTTTGATTTTTTTAGAGGAGGCTGAGGGGGGCGGCACCCGGCCTCCTCTGACAGTTTCTCTTCTCCCTGCGCTGTGTCAGAGGGGCACAAAGCAGCGCACAGTGGGGAGGACAGAAAGCAGGGATGCACCATTGCAGTACTGGGCGTTCAGGTGCAGGCAATCGGACTTTGGGGCGGGAGGTGTGTTTCGGGTGTGATTATTACGGCAACGCAATGCATCTTCCACCAGAATGTGCAGTAGGTGCAATTGTGTGGTACAGTACATTAATCGCATGGGACTGTGTGATTAACGCACTGTCCTAGTGTGAACGGACGCTAACAAACACTGACATACATACACACACACCCAAAAAAATTATCATTCGTTTTTTTCCAGTCTCCAGATCCATCCAGTCTCCCTATCTTATGAGAACTGGAGTAGATCCTTAGCTTGGTGTCCAGTGTGGGCTGCTGTGCTGTGACTGCGCTCCATCCATATGTGCATTGCTTGTACAGCTCCCTTGCGCCCCCCGTAGAGGTGCCGGGAGCCAGAATGTGATGTCAGTCCTGTCACCTCTACAGGGCAAATGTGAGAGCTTTACGCAATTAACAAATGGATGGAGCTCCCTTTTGGCCATACTTCCAGCCCAGCCCACCTCAAGCTGACATGCAGGGTCGGGCAGCATATTTTGCTACTCACGCGAGAACTGACGGTGCTGGGCTAGGGGGAGGCTGAGGAGTCTCTCACCTAGAAAAGTGAAAGGCATGCGGTGACCCACTGACCATAGGGTCGCGACCCACCAGTTGAGAACCAAGGATCTTGGGCAGTGGTGGCGAACCTTGGCACTCCAGCTGTTTTGGAACTACAAGTCCCATTGCAAGGCTCTAACAGCCACAGACATAACTCCCAGAGGCAGATGCATGTTGGGATTTGTAGTTTTGGCACAGCTGGAGTGCCAAGGTTCGCCACCACTGTTGCAGTTACATAAAAGCAGCCTACATTCACCAGATGTTACAAATACATATTTAATACAGGGTGCACCCGGGATGCTGGCTGTGCAGAAAATCACAGCTTTTCTAAAGAGGACGCACTACAGAGGCATTTCCTTTGAGACTTATTTAAGCAGTCAAGAATAACCTGGTGAACATGTGAAAAGGATGATAGCACCCCACCTGCTGCCTGGGGACTTGCAGATATGAAAGATGTGCAACAAATGTATTTGAAATCTAAAACATTCATTTTAAAAGGAAACAATGGAATGTCGGTGTGCACCAGAAAGACTGATGCCAAAAATCTTTACTAACTCTGCCCTGGTAAAGCAAAACCTCTTTATGTGTTTAAAGAGCGCTCAGACATTTGTAATTTTTTTTTCCATTGATGAATGACTTGATAAGCAGCTTTGACAAAATCTACCGTAGAGGTAAAGTGACACTAAACTCAGGAGTTAAAAGGAGAACTATGACATGAGTGATTTCCACTCACCTCATAGTTCTAAGCCGACCTGTGACAATGAGACTGTCACAGGTCGGCTCAGTAGATCGGGAGGTGAGAGAACACATACCGG